TCAAATGGATTGAAGTTGTCTTTCGAAACTCTATGAATGGATACTTAAAAAACATTAAAATCATGTGGTCATGAGCACGTGGTTGTGCGTGAAACCGAGAGTAGACGAGGCTTTTGGTGCATGAGATATAGTAATTGAGCGCGTGCAAACTCGGATCAAACTCCGTTTCGTTCTATTCAACTCCTTTTGACCTGTTTTATCAAGATTGCTCCATGCTTACTTTGAAAGTTGTAAAATGTAAGTCCAATTAGGAGAAATTGTGACAAAATTACCCTATTAAGAGTAAATTACGAGAATAAAGGAATTAACAATTCAAATAAATAGTATGTCGGAACTCATAAACATGTTTTTTTAACTTATTTTATATGCGTAAACATGTTGATTATGTAATTATAAGCTTAATAATAATGAGTATTTTTGAGTGACGCATTGTATGCTAAGTTAGGAACAATGAGTATTCATGACCATCGAATTGTATGATATTACAAGTTGCTAAAGAGTTTGGTTGTATTTGATCGAGAATGAGTCTTCATGTTCAAAAATTGTGATAAGCATAAATAGAGCCAACCGTTTAAGCTTGAAGTTAGTTGGAATATCTTATAACGAACAAAATGTCCTAATAAAACTAAGAACTATTAGTGAATAAAACTGAATAAATAATTAGAAAAATAGTCGATATAACGTGTTGAGGACAATGATGCAGTTGAATTGGAGACTTCCTGAGACCCTATTTAGACCCGAGTCCATTTTTATGTATTTATTACTCCTAATACGCTTTACCCCTTGTTTTTATTTATTCAAAAGAGCAGATTACTTTACGGTATATAATTATGAAAAATATAATATGCATCAATAGTAACAACGGTGATTCGGACTTTTGAGGAGCGGGTGCTACAAATTCTATGTTAAGTGACCTCTTGATAATTTTTCTAAGCAAAATATGCTAAAACGATTCGGGTTGGTTGTAGAAATAGTCTTTACTCTTAGAAGTGAAGTGTAAGTAACGAGACAATGCAAAAGGGACGTAGGAAAATGTCGGGACCATCAAGTGTCGAATACGGATTTTGAATCTTGAGCATGAGGTATTACAAATGGTATCAAAGTAGTACCTCTCTCAATAAAGTGTGGTTCGGTGACAAACTAAGACAAGAGCGATCTATCACAGAAGAACCAACGAGGTGCATCATCCTTTTCGGTGACTCTATCACAGAAGCTATTTATGTTGAACCTCTCGAGAAACTCTAAACCCGAAACCTCTCGAGAATTTTCTTAGGATGCAAAACAAGAAAATCGTATTAATTTTTGTTTAAAAAGAAACCTAACCTAATGATTATGTTTTTTTCCCCTTTCATATTTCTTACTCCTCCATTATTGTTTCGTTTATTTTTCTATAGTTTTTGAAAATTAAAAAAATAAAAAATAAAAATTGAATGCTATTTAATTTCTGTTGAATTTTTAAAAGTTACCTAAATTGTTTTTATTTGATATTAATTTTAATATTTTAATCTATTTGGTAAATAATCTTCTCTCTTCAGTAAAGACAAAGGTTGAAGTGATGATAAATTATATTTTTAAAAAGCTATTGCTAATATCACCTATTCACCAACTAAAAATTTGCTTCCTTTTCCAATTCAAGGGTCATATGATTATATTTAATTCCACTTTATCTCTTTTTAATTTAAAATTAGTTATAAGTTAATATTTTTTTAAGCCATTTTTAATTAGCTAATATCATGATATGCCACCTTTTCTTTTTTAAAAAAGTTAATTCCTAAAATAAGATATCAAAAGATCTCTTTCATTATTGTTATTATTATTTATTAAAAAAAAGTTATTTTTATGATTTTTTTTTTTTTGGAATATACCCATATGATTCCAATTTTAGGTTATTTGTTTTCAAATTTGATATTAAACTTGTATATTTTAAAAATTAAAATCAAATATTTGAAATTACTTTAGTTTTGTTATTATTAATAAATTTTAAATTTAGTTATTGGAAATACACGACAAAATTTAGATAGTACTTGGATATTTAAAAATACTAGTGAATGAAATCGTGCAATGTATCACAATTATGAAAAGAGTAGGTTGTGACCCTCATATTAGCAAAACTTTGCTTAATGACCCTCAAAAGACACTCATTCAACCACGTGAGGGCTAATATGGAAGAATGTCATGATGTGATTGACAAGAATGGTACATCATCCAATACACTATGTAAAGTTTTAATTGAAGAGAAAACGAGACATAAGCAAGATAGAGATAATGAGTAGACATAAGCATCACAAATAGGCTTATTGAAGGGTCGATAGGGCCCTAGGCCTTAATCTTGAAAGTTGGAGTTTCGAAGGGAATTCGAGCATACGGTTTTGGAGTCAAGTTCATCCATATGAAATATGAAAGCTTGCCAAATTTAGTGTCAATTGGACACCAAATAAACCGCTAACGTAAAATATGTGTATGACCTTTATCATGTTCAATATATTTGCAATTTATTGATTATAAAGTGATCCTTACTTCAACTATAATCTAAAGGTTTTTGACTTGAAAGAGTGAACTCTGTTGGAAGCCAAAAGAAACATGGGAGATTCTAAAAGCCTAAAAGAAACTAGCATGACATCTTTACAATGAAGTAATTGGACTGCAATCTTCATCAACTTTACCTACTGCTTCCAGGATCGACGAGTAAGTGATGGGATCATACTTGAATCCTTTCGACTTCATCTCTCTCATTAGCTTTGCAGCCTCCTCGAACATACCAGCTCGACTCAGACAACTGAGTACGGTATTATACGAAACTGCATCTGGCATGATCTTCGAATGTTTCATCTTTGTAAACATTTCGATGGCTCGCTTTGGGCCACCTGTCCTAGCTAAGCCATTTAGTATAATGTTGTGCGAGTTTATGTCTGGCGTGCAACCATTTTCGCCCATGTTTCTTATCAAGGAAAGCACCTCGTCGATCATTCCAGCCCTAACCATCCCTGACATGAGTGCATTATAAGTATAAACATCAGGGCTGCATCCAAGTTTTTTCATTTCATTAAAAAGATCAACAGCATCACTTAGACGTCCACACTTGCCGAAGTGTTTTATCATCACAGCATATACCCGAGCACTAGAGCATCCACAATTCTCTTTCAATTCTTGAAATAGCTCATTTGCAGCTTCGTATCGTTTCGCCTGTCCAAGACTGTTGATCAGGCTGCAGTAAGCAGCTGGACATGGAGGAAACCCCTTTTCATCCATTTCTTCAAGAAGCATTAAGGCCTTCTCAACTCTATTTGTCTTGCAGAAACCATCAATAAGAATTGCATACGTGAACGAGCTCGGAGCAATGCCATTCGTCTTCATCTTTTCAAACCACAAAGCAGCCTCAGAAGCTGGAGCTTTTGATTCAAATATAGCTTTTAGTACAGTGTTGTAAGTAACCACATTGGGTGCACATTGCAAAGAATCCATTTTACCAAAAAGATTTAGAGCATCATCCAAACGACCCGCCCTGCCCAATATATTGATCAAATTGTTTATAAGTACGACATCGGGCTTGCAACCGTCCTTCGACATATTCAAAAACAAACTATAGGCATCATCTACCCTTCCAACTTTCCCAAGCCCCTTTATTAATTCAGTGTAAGTGAAGACAGTAGGAGCACAGCCCTTTCCCTTCATCTCCTCAACCAAACCCAAAGCTGCCTCAACCTTATTCAACTTAAAATACATTCCCAATATGGTAGTATAAATCTTCGAAGTTGGATATAAGCCATTCTCCTTCATCTCATCGAACAATCGAAATGCAAAATCGTAACGCTCTAGCTTTCCAAACGCAGAGATAAGAGCAGTGTAGGTGATTGTATCAGGGGAGCAATTACCCTCATTGCATATCTCATTGTAGAGCTCATGAACCTTTTCATGGTGACCTTCTTGCATAAGCATCAAGATCAAGGTATTGTAAGTGGTAGCTGTTGGCTTACATTTGCGACCTTTAATCTGGTAAAACACAGACAAGGCCTTGTTTACCATTTTTGCCTTCCCTAAAATCTTAATAATTTCAGACAATTCAGGTGGACTCACAGGACATGGACTACGAACCATGTCTTGGATTGTCCTCCACATTTCACCAACAAGTCCAGATTCCTCTAAGCAATGAATTAAAGCCATATATGTAGTGGAATCATGCTGGAAGTTCTTTCTCTTTCCAGCCCATTTGAAGAACTGAATTTTAACCCTAATTTCTACATCAATTTGCAAGACTTGGCGAACTAACCTGTGATCAACTTTGAGCTTCAGCACTTCTATCGCCTTCTCTGCATCAGATCCCCACTTGAAAATTTTCAAAATCCTTATGAACCGCTCGTCAAGAGTTCGGACAGAAGGATCCTTCCGCAGCACCTTCCGATTGATAGGGAAGTTGGAAGCTTCCGGCCTTGGACTAGGCACTCGAAACATTTCGACAATTTCATTTTCTAAATAAGAAGCAAAGCATAAACACTAACTGAATCAAAATTGGCATTTATGAATGTGAAACAAAGGAATTCTTCGAAGCTATTACAGACTTTTGTGAGTCACCATTGAAGCAGATGAAAATGAAGCTAACCTGTTTGCTTTATTCTCGCAGAGAGATAGGGCAGAGAAGAGATGGACCGCTTCGAAGAGAATGCTGCGAAATTCATATTTAGAACATTGCCATTGGGAAGAATCAATAAGCACAGAATCAAACACAGATAAATTACGGCGATTGAGGAAGAAGAAGGGTAGGGAAAACTGGCGACAATACTTTTTTCAATGTTCCATTGCACAAATATACAGAATCGAATTTGGGCCGCCGGTTTTTAATCAGCCGAACCAACAGAATTTGGACCGCCGGTTAGTATGTTTGTGGCTCGAGTTGGTTCGACAAGCCAATATGGTGAACCGAAGCCGACTGCCTGTGCCTGGATCGAACCGCGATTGAACCGCCAGAGTTTCGGTCGAAACTTACGCTCTAGTATTTTCGTATAATCGAATCCTTTTCTTTTTCTTTTTTGTCGCAAGGCGTGAATTTATCTCTCTTTCGGTACCGGAGCCGGCGAAGGACTTCCATGGACGACGGAATCTCAGAGGAGCTGGTGATGAGTGAGGTTCACCTTGGCTGCCCACCTGGTTTCTCCGGGTCGTTTGTTTCCAATTTCTCCATTTCCCTCCCTTCCGGTTCGTAATTCCAAGCTTTCTCTGATTATCTCTTCCATTTTGGTACTGAACTTCAAAGCTGATCCATTAGCTTGGCACTGCCTAGCACTTAACCAATTTCAGTTTTGTAATTAATGGCGGATGATAATAAGATTACTGACAAAATTATAGGTTTTGATGATTTAGATATAGAACCCAGAACCTATGTCAGTGATTCTGAAGGCTATTCACCGTCTACAAAGCAACTCATTCGTTTCGACGAAGATGGAGATCTTGTTTTACCCAGGCGCCTTAGTCAGTACCCAACTCTTCTCTTCTTTATTTTTTATTTTTAAGTATGGTTGGGAGGAGTCTCACCTTAAGTTGATCATGAGTTTATAAGTTAGGAATATATCTTCATTGATATGAGGCCTTTTGGAAAAACCAAAAGTAAAGCCATGAGAGCGTATGCTCAAAGTGGATAATATCATACCATTGTAGAGAGTCGTGGTTTTTAACATGGTATTAGAGCCATGCCATTAACTTAGCCATTTCAATATAATCTTCAAATGTCAAACAAAGAAGTTTTGAGCCTCGAAGGTGTAGTCAAAAGAAGTTTTTAGCCTTTGTTCGAGGGCTCTAGAGAAGGAGTCGAGCCTTAATTAAAAGGAGATTGTGAGGGCTTCATAGACCTCATGGAAGGCTCTATGATGTGCTTTGTTCGAGGGGAAGATTGTTGAAGATTGTTGCAGAGGAGTCCCACACCGGCTAATTAAGGGGTTGATCATGAGTTTATAAGTAAGGAATACATCTCCATTGGTATGAGGCCTTTTAAAAACCAAAAGCAAAGCTATGAGAGCTTGTGCTCAAATGAACAATTTCATACCATTGTGGAGAGTCGTGGTTTCATATAGTGCCAAGTGCCAATATAGAGTACCCGATTTTCTTATGCTTTTTGCATTCTAGTAATTTATGATTGCATGTTAAAGAGATCTGGAAAATTAACTTTTTTAATGAACGCATAATTTCTTTCCTTCGAGTCAAAGTGTTCACAGTTGTTGTTAGGCGGTAATGCGAGCAGCTGATTATAAGCTATGTAACGCATTTTATCAAATGCCCGAACTGAACAAGAGGCTACACGATCACAATTACTTGCTGTGCTAGTAATTGATCTGTTATGAATGCAAATTTTACATCTCTCAGTTAAATCCCTTGCATTTTTCCCCCTTGAAAATATTTAAATTGAAAATGTGGGTGTTAAAACACTCAATATCCCATCAGTTATTTAATTGCTGAGATGCTTTAACATTTCTATATGAAAACAGATGTGGAAGTAGAATCTTCAGTTCGTAGTTATAACGTGTCGATCCAACATGATATTATGTCAACGATCCCAAGTGTTGGTTTGCAGGTAATTGTTTCTTATGATCTGTGATTTTCTCCATTATTTTTCTTTTATTCATTATATGATTCAGTGTCTTTTCCTCTTTCAGGTGTGGAAAGCAGAGCTAGTATTATCTGATTTCGTCTTGCATACAATGCTTACTTCATCTAAATTCGATGGAATTGTTGCTCTAGAACTTGGAGCTGGAACAGGTGTTTGACGGACGTGCATTCGTGATATTTATTTTATGCACATTTGTTATTTTTCTGATTCCTACCATCTTTTTGTATTAACGTACTGTTAGATGAAACAAATTTTCCTTTTTTTCCTGTTTTGAAAGACCACCGTTGACTATATTACTATTTCAATGACAGGGTCTTATCTTGTTCCTCTTGCCAGGACTGGTTGGAATATTGCTTGCACGGGTTGCTAAAACAGTATTTCTAACAGGTATCGGCTATAGCAATCCTCAGAAATTTTGATTTTTTGTTATTCCTTGTTTTCCCATTTTGGAAATGAAACAATGATCTTGTTCTGTTCTGATGGATTGAGAAATGTGTGAGCGTGCACACTTTTTTCTTAACATGAAAACCAAAGTAAACTTAACAGTATTTAACCGTATTTATGTTGTACAGTTCAAGCCCACCACTAGTAGATATTTTCCTCTGTGGGCTTTTCCTTTTAGGATTCCCCTCAAGGTTTTTAAAACGCGTCTGCTAGGGAGAAATTTCCACACCCTTATAAAGAATGTTCGTTCCCCTCTCTAACCAACGTGGGATGTCACGATTTATGTCTTGAAATATTAGTCAAATAAACCTTTAACTGCCTCTCATAGTTCACTTATGTTTTAGTTGGATTGGATTAGTTGTGAGTAATAATTAGCTTAGAGGCTTATCTAACTTGTTTTTCACGTATGGATCCATTGCAAGTATTTTTAATGCGAAGGATGTGCTCTTAATGATTGACAGATAAAGGCGATCATATCCTTGACAACTGTGCCAAAAACATTGGTCTTAATTCTGGTGGGTTCAGTGCTGGAGTTGCAGTTCATGTAAGGGAACTTGATTGGACAGAACCTTGGCCTCCAAAGCAAACCCGAGGAGAATGTCACCCAAATAACAGGTGATGAAAGCTTTGCAATTCACTATACCTGACAACTGTATGCCTTGGACTATGTTCATTTTTTCTCCCCATAAATGTGATTGGTATGTGACTTTAAATTGTTTAGCGATCACTGCAAGTATTTCTTTTTTTACATTGGTAATATTTGTTAAAATTTTACATAGTGGTAAAAGTTGTTTTGACCAAATAAAAAAAATTTCTAAACAATTCTCAATAACCCAAATTGATTTGAGAAATTCTAAAAAATAGATTAAACATGTAATAGCCTAAGCCCACTTCTAGCAAATATTGTTCTCTTTGGGCTTTCCTTTTCGAGTTTCCCCTCAAGGTGTTTAAAACGCATCTTCTAGGGAGAGGTTCCACACCCTTCGGGGCCAGCATCCTCGCTGGCACTGGTTCCCTTCTCTAATTAATATGGGACCGCCCAATCCACCCTCCCCCCCCCCCCCCCCCCCC